CTTTAAACTATCATTAAACCAAGGAACCATTGGTCGAACAGTCATAACTTTCGATTTCAAAGGAGCATGCTTATCGAGAATAGAACGTAGGGTAATATCATAGCATTTTGACATATCATTAACACTTGACCAAGTTTTCTGAAATAGATCTGAGGCGCATATATCAGCTTTAAAGGTATTGAGGTCAATATGTTTAACTTTGCGATAGCAAACTTCTTTAACTAGGATGTTTGGGCGAGGAATATCCAACAAACATTCAACAAAAAAATGATCAGACAAAGCAAACGTCGTCAAAGGAGAGGTGATTGTGACATCATTGATTGATCTAGTGATAATCAAATCAAGGGTATGACCTGATGAATGAGTTGGGACATGAACATGTTGGATAAGTCCAAAAGTATTCATTAAGTCCGCAAACTTTTTCGCGTCTGCTTCGGTTGGACAATCAACGTGAAAATTAAAATCACCTGTAATCAAGAGTACTTCGGGAATCATAACGATGTTCTCCAAGTATGATGAAAACTCTTCGAAAAACACATTTGGTGAAACCGGGTGATCTTCCGAGTAAGGAGGTCGATAGATTGTCACCACTTTAATGGTTTGCTTGTGCACACAAACATTCCACTCCGAGAATTCAAACGAATTAAATTCCCCACAGTCACTGGATTTTACATTTAACGATTCTTTGCACAGAATACCCGTGCCGCCACCACTTCTACCAGACTGTCTTGGGAAAGATCTAAACACAAATCCTGCAGTAGATAGTCCAGCAATGCTGACAGAGTCACATTCCTTCAACCACGTTTCAGTGATAGTACATATATCAATACCGCTATCAACCATATGATCAATGATAACGGCGATCTTGTTCCTTACAGAGCGCGAATTAACACAAGCAAAGCGTAAAAGCGTATTTCTACGGTTGAAACTTTTTCCCCGGAGGTAAGGTACCTGAAGGGGAAATGTAGTTCTCCGAGGACCTTCGAAGACTGATAGGAACAATACTGGTGCAGATCCGCGGCCAGCAGCGGTATGGAACCCTCAAATTTTTTGACATGCGCACTAACCATCCTCTTATTGAGTTGACTGCTGAGGTTTGTATGATCTTACATAGCTGGGAGGGGTAGACTTGGCAATCCACCATGGTAGGGGTAGCAGTATTGCTCCTATCAGTCCTCGGAGAACTACATCTCCCCTTCAGGTAAGTACCTTATAGTACCTCTCCTTATTACCTTCTCCGACTGATGCTCGCCATACTGGTGCATATTACAAAGATAGCTAGGTAAATCATGTTGTCATCACTATTGAAGCACTCAGAAGTAAACAGTTATATTTAATCCAAACAATATAAATCATGCATAGTGCATGCTACCACTGTAACTCTGTAAGAATACAAAGTTTTATATAGTACCTTGATTTAATTTATTTATTAAACGTTCTCTGACTAAATATTTATTTCTACGAGCTTTCGGCTACCAAGTCCTGAAGAGTTAGTGCGGTCATTTTTCGAACTGGTTGAAGGAAAGGCGCCATCTGCAGGAATTGCGGTTCTACCATATATCAAAGGACTAACCGAACCTCTAGCCAGAACACTCCAAAAACATGACAACTATGACATTAAAGTTTATAATAAGCCAATGAAAACCCTCGAACGCCAATTCCCATCTGCAAAACAGAAACCACCAACAGAAGAGCAGAAGAACGTGGTCTACCAGATACCGTGTCAAGATTGCAGTTGGAGCTACATAGGCGAAACAGGAAGATCCTTGAAGACGAGAAAGTCCGAACACGTGAGGAATGTGAAACAAAGCAAGAAGGGGTCGAATGTCGCGAAACACGCATGGACTCAAGATCATATTATTGACTTTGCCAATGCTAAAGTAATAGACAAGGGAAATCATAGGAACCTTAAAACCTTAGAGTCCTGGCACACTGCACTAACAGACCAAGCTGATAACTCTAATACGCTTCCAGCACAATACACAATACTTTTAAGAAAGGAACTCGAGAAACATTAATTAAATATTTATATTCCTCATTTGTAACATAGCATAGATAGTCTCATATTTCATACCACCTACTTAAGTTTAGCGTCCTTTATAGAATCATTTGTATACACCCGTCGAAGGCTATAGACTGATAGCCGAAAGCTCGTAGAAATAAATATTTAGTGATTTTAGTCAGAGAACGTTTAATAAATAAATTATGTTTTAACCTGGCTACGCATCCTCTATTTTTTCAAGTACCTTGATTGTCTATAAACAAGTACTTTGTGAGCAAATGGAGCTTTATCAGCTCTTTTGTGGTAATGTTTCTCAAATGAGGCACTCCGTTGTCGACCGCTTCCGAAGTTGACGCAGCTCTGGTAGAATGTCCTGTGTAACAGACATCCACTCCAGCTAACCGAATCAATGTGCATATCCATCTTGATACGTTTTGACTTCCTACAGGTTTGTATGGATTGACATAGGACAGTAAAAGTTCCTTGTACCGTCTGTGGTTACTGGTGCGTTGGAGGTAATGTTCCAAACACCTCACAACACAAATGGAGCAATCTTGTTGATAAGGAATATCTTCCGAGGGGGATGATATGGCCTCGAATTTTTACGTGAGTGTGAATAATGAACTCACAACTGTCGACTTTCTTTGAAAAATGATCAAGGTGAAGGGTCACAATTTCATAAGCCCTTGCAGCTGAGGTCAATGCCAGTAGAGTGGTTAGCTTCAAACTCAAAACTTTCAGGGAAAGTTGCTCCACAGGTTCTAGGGACGACAAATATCGCAGTACAGGATCCACTTGCCAAGTCGTGCAAATTCGAGGAGTTGCGGGTCGTAGTTGGAAGATACCTTTCATGAAGCGTGATACCAGGATAGGCTACCAAGCTGCAAGCCATCAACTGGATCATGCATCTGTGAGATACATGCTTTGTATGCGCCCACTGTTGTGTAAGCGAGATTGCGGTTGTTAATCTGTTCAGATAGAAAATCTAAAACGTCTGCTACAGGAGCTAAAAAGGGACATTTATTCCTTTCCAGACACCAGCTAGCCCACTGTTGCTAGGATCCTTCGTATCTCTTCTGAGTGCTTGTTCGCCAGGAGGCCAACAGAATTTTACACACCTCTGGTGTTGTTTGCAAACGAGACCTGACAGCGGCCATACAGCTAGTCGGAGGGTTTTCCACATTGGATGTATTGCTTGTTCGAACGGTAAGAAGATTGTTCCCTCCGCTATCGGTAACTGAGCTGGAAAGTCCACTAGTAGCTCCACGAGGGCTGGGAACCATGGCTGTCCTGGCCAGGTTGGGGCTATCACCAGTCCCGTTGCTTGATCCTGTCGTAATGTCTGCAGAATCCGCGGCAAGAGCACCATTGGAGCGTGTATGAACACCGTCCACTATCCCCAGTGCTGGAGAAAAGCATCTGTCGCTACTGACTCTGGGTATTTTGCCACATAGCGTGGTAGCTGGTTGTTGATTCGATATGCAAATAGATTCACCTCTGGGGTGTAGAACCTCCTGGTTATCATCTGGAATACTCTCTTGTAGTCAGAGTCCATTCCGTTCTGTTGTTGAAGTTCCTCGATGCAAAATCTGCTTCGGTGTTCGTCACTCCAGGAACATGTCTCGCTGTAATCCATATCTGCCGAGAGATGCGGAAGTTCCATATCTCTAATGCCAGATATGCCAGAGTTGGTGAATGTGTTCCCCCTCGCTTGTTTATGTAGGACACTGCCGTGGAATTGTCCATAAGCACCTGAATATGGCGTGGATGCATGGTGCCCTTGACAAATGCCTGAATGGCAAGGTAAGCTGCCCTCAATTCCAACACATTGATGTGGGCATCTTCTTCCTTCCGCCATTGACCATCCGTCCTTTGGCCCAGAAAACTCGCCCCCCAAAAAAAGCTTGGAGGCGTCTGTCGATATTATCATGTCGATTGCTGAAGAGTTCAACACCATCCGGTTGATTTGATTTAGTTGCTCCGAAAACCACCACTTGAGTTCTGAGGATGCTTCCTTTGTTAGAGGAATCTGGAACCGCTTTGATTGTGTGAAGTGACCTTTCCTGTGTATAGCCGCAATGAACATCCGTTGAAGGGCTCGATAGTGCAATGGTGCTTCCCAAATTCTAATTTGGGCAGTCTGATTCATTCGACCCAGCAATGCTGAAAGTTCCAGCATGGAGTACCACCCCCTGGTTTGCACTCCAACTGTATGAGGCAAAGTTTCTTCAGAGGAACAGCTATTGTCATGTCCGTCGAGTTCATTTGAAGATTGTCTGTAGCTCTATTGGATCCTGGTGGAAGAGCAGTAGGTCGTCCAAATATATAACTACTCGTATGCCAGATATTCTCAGGATTGCAATAACTGGCTTGACCAGTTTCGTGAAGGCTCGGGGTGCTGATGATAGACCGAAGGGTAAACACTGGAACTCGTAGGTCACATCTTGAAAATGAAATCGAAGGTACTTCCTGTGTTCCACTGCTACTGGTACCGAGTAATACGCATCCTTCAGGTCCAGTTTCATTAGAAAGTCGTTCGGTTTCAACATTGTTTTTAGTAGGTCCAAACTGTCTAGTTTGAACTTTTCTGTGTGGACATATTTGTTCAATGTCTTCAGGTTGAAAACTGATCGGTTCTTGTTCACCTGCTGTACTTATGAACAATGTTGAAAGGAACTGGTCCTGTTCTACAACCTGATGTACTGCTCCCTTTGAAACCAGACCCAGTATGGCCTGGGATAGTAACTATTGTTGTTCCAAGGATCTGGCCTTGGTCACTCGCTTGCGCCATTGATGAGGTTTCGAAATCAGGGGAATTCGATATCCCCTCACTGTCTCCAAGACTGATTCGTCTGAAGTTATTATCTTCCAATTTTCTATAAAATGTTTCAGTCGACCTGCTGTTCTGGTAAAGTTATCTTGTTGAGTCTAGGGATCATATAGTCAGCTGTGGTTGGGGTTGCCGAGCTCATTGGAAGCCCGTAGTCGCTTAGGGAAGGTGTTTTTTCTTGACGAGAAGCTACTGAAATCTGCTTTTTGGTTCCCTTGGGACTTGTAGGACCATTTACGTTTTCCCCAGGAACATGGACCACTGGTAGCAGCAGTGGGACCGGAGAAGGCACGAAAAGGCTGTGTTGGTGTAGTTTTCCGGAATTGTGACTTGGAGGGAGCTGCAATGACTTTGGAATTTGTCTGCGAATGATCATATTCGCTCTGGACGAATTGGTGAAATTTGTCAGGGAAGAGATGTTTATCTGTTGGGATATCATCTTTTAAAATTCGCTTGCCAACATCAGTTATAAATTCTCCAAAACGCTTTTGGCGCCATGCATTTAATTGAAAGTTGGCATTACGGTCCAGAGGCGCTGGAATATCGATAATTGCGGGGGCAGATATTCATATATTCGTGTTCACAGACTGTAAAAACAATCGATTTCAAAAGAAATTAATTGGGCAGAACACGAATATACAGTATGAATATCTGCCCCGCCCCCCCCCCCAATTATCGATATTCCGGCGCCTCTGGCATTACCCAGTAGGACAAGGACATTTTCTAAGTATGCCTTTATTTCATCTGGGTCCGGACCATTAATATCATCTTCGCTCTCGTCAGGACTTAGGGGGCCTTCCAGGAGGTCTAATGCTGCAGTAATAGGTCGTGCAACAGCCAAGAAAGGGGCATGCTTCTCAAGGAGGCCATCATCTGATGTGAAAATCTCTTTGGTCTTGTGATAACCAACTTTTGTTTGATGTCTCTTGCGCCTGTTTCCATTGTAGGAGCAACAAGCACTTCCTCCATCCCCTTTATTGGAGGATACTTTTTCATAAGATCCGACCAACCGTCTTTAGAAAGACGCTTGGTAAAAGCTGTGCTCAAGAAGGTGGCAACTTCTTCAGATAATACAGTTTCCTTAGCCTCAGTATAATACTTGGCAAGACGACTGTTTAATTGAGATCTTTCAGGTTGTGCTTCACCTTCATTCACTAACCCCTGTGCAGGGTTTGGGAGCTGAGGTGGTGCAGCAGCTGCAAATGCTTCTTGAAAAAGCCTTGGCAAGCCGTTCTGAATTGAACTAGTAACCTGATCAGCGACCAAGGTGCGAATTTCGGAGTGTTTTCACACAATTTCGAGTTTTCCCAATTTCCACGAGTGTTGATAATTGATATAACTGTATATCAATACAGAAAAAAGTTTTATATTTGTTTTATAATATAGCACAAAGAAATATATAAAGAAAGAAGTTTTGCGACGTTTCCGTGTTGACATTGAGTTATATCAACACGGGTCTTAGGCTTAGCCAATCAGCGTTCAGAATTTACAAATGCTATATTATAATTTATAATACAAAATAATTGAAGATCGTTACAAGTGCATGAAAACTATGGTGTCCGACAGTTGACACAGAAATCAGCATCTAAATTAATTTAAGACTCATGACACTCCGTGATCGCGCCGATGCCGTTTACGTACGTCGCTGTTGGAGTTCAGGTAGTGAATACAGGAGTATAAACACCATAAAGTTTGGGTTTTCTCAATTCGCGTACTCTTCCATATGGCTCTACCCCGCATGTGTGTCCCCTCATCCATTTCGTGCCTTTAATTACGTATTAAATGTTACAAATATCCTACACTCAAAAGATTATGGGTGCGTTCCTTTAGTGCAATCCGGATTTGGAGCTTCAAATCCGATAAAATGCAATCCGGATTTGGAGCTTCAAATCCGATAAAATGCAATCCGGATTTGGAGCTTCAAATCCGATTATCGATTTTCATTTTCATTTAACAAAATCTTAAAATAGATTTGTATCTGATGAATCCACCACAACATATGGATTTTTCGGATTTAATCTGAAACTTGATTAGGTTCAACGTTCCTTTTGAGCTTCTGGCCTTCTAGCATGTACCTTGACCCGACCGAAAGGTATAGTGGGATAGAAAACTTATTGTGAAAATGGCGGGAAAACAGCAGGCGAATTCCGATTCTCACAATTCGTTCCATTTGTTTAACGAATCCGCAAAATCCAAATCTAGATTTACAAAAGAAACGCTCCTTAATGTCACAAATCCAACTAGTCCTACTGGTATGCATGGGGTAAATACCCTTGTACTTATATAGTTAAAAATTCCCAAGGTAAGGATAACGGACGCGGGATTAGGTTTAGCGTCATGAGTATCAAGATTAAGTATCATGCATGGTTAGGATTTGGATTGGATTCTATATGTAAGGACTGTAAGGAATAAATTGAGGTTGAGAAATCTCACTGTACATGCAGCCTTTTGCAGGTATATTGCGGTTGTTATTATGTTGACCTGTCTAATTTCCATTGAATACAAAACGAATACAAAAACCAGATGCCACGCCATGCTCGCAGTTGGTTAAAATAAATTTAATTAGTTTTGATGGACAGATGCTGAAGGAAGACGATTTTAAATGTAAAGCTATAGTCTTATAGCTTATAGTCACACGGCAATCAATTTATGATTATTAATTTCGAGATTTACTTCAATATTTAATACCTAGCTGGAATTTGACTTTTTAAGAGCATGAAAACCTTTTCTTTTTCATGTACATTGGCTGTCATTGTATAAAGGAAAATCATTTAAATTGCAGTTGTTATTATGTTAATATGGAAATTTTCATTGTCATTGAAACGAAAGCCGACACATGCACGCAGTATTAAAATAACTTTGGTTTTGATTGACAAAATGCTGAAGCGGAAGACGATTTTAAATGTCGGTAACAAATAATATATGCAGTGACGCCGGAACTGGGGGGGGGGGCAGGAGGAGCAGCCGCCCCCGTTGGCCTTTACTACGAGGGGCAAAGGGAGCAAAGGTGCCCTTTCAATTTAAAGGATTGCCTTGACGAAATAGCGAATTGTCAGAAATGTTAGTGCGATTTTTTACGAATTTACTTCAGAAAACGCAAGAAATGCAGTCATCAAGCTTCAAGAATAGCACAATCGCCTGGCGGAGAACCCCCTCACACCCCTATCATCCAATAAATAGAAAAAAAATTAGGCGAAGATCAACTTCCGATATTTTGCAAACATCTCTTAGTATATATCAATTCAAAAGTGCCCTTTCACCTTCACATCGTTCCGGCGTCCCTGAATGCATGCATGCTCAAGCAAATTTCCTTGTCACACGGCAGTCGATTGATTTGATTATACAGCTGGCCTCTGTAGCTCAGTTGGTTAGAGCCAGCACCGGAATCGCAGGGCCGTAGGTTCAATTCCTACCAGAGGACCTTGTGCTGCATTTTTCGCAGTTGTTCCTGGTTAGGTCTTAAAATGTATATAATCACTTGAATTACAAACCCTAACATTCTAATATTAATTCCACCAAGTGAAGTGCAAGGATCCCTATATTTATTTAGGCTTTATACCGTAGCCTATAGCTCTCTGCATGTGGATACCTAAAGTAAAGGAATAAAATCTAATATACTAATATATATTATAATAACTTTAGCGGGCGTCGTGGCGTATTTTGCGGGCTAAGAAGAACAAATTAGCGGGCTAAAATACATTTTATTTTTACCCTGATGAATTTTAAATTAGCAATTGCCAATGTATGCCTTGAGAGTTGAGCTGGCTCTGCCTGGGCAAGTTTTATTAAAATTTTTACCGACAAAATGGCTATAAAAATACTAATAAAAAGAGAAGACATCTATATTTTGAAAAATTACATAAGGTAGTTAGGTAGAAACATGCATTCCCGAAATTATTTATGTTGTGGCAAGGTATACACATGCAGTAACAGTAACAGTAACAGTAACAGTGACGAAGTGAATGGTTTATCCATGTAACCATGGTCATATTAACAAACGAAACTAGCTTTTTTATACCAAACGGGAAACTGCCAAACTATCACTTCATAAACTGTATAAACTATTTTTCATTCTGCTCATTCTCAGTTTTGTCTTTTGAGAACAGTTTAGTTTGATGCTTGTGATGTCCACACCGGGCAAGCTTGAAAAATATGCCTGACCACGGTGGGAATCGAACCTACGCGGACCTTTGGAATACTTTGTTTTTCTCCATATACAAACTGAGTTTGTAGTTAATACAACGAATTCAAAATAACCATGCATAGCGTACATGTATATATAGCGTGAAGACGGCATTGCATGAAATCATTCTGCTATACAGTACTATAGTATAGACTAATAGGGCCCCCTAATAGGTTACAACACTCATTCTGCCTATGCCATGGTTAAATGTCAGTAAATCCGCTGATATGTTTATGTTTCACTGTTTGGCAGTATAGACGTGCAGTAATATTTTTGAATAGAACTTTTGATGTTCCTTTCAGTTTCTTGAAGTTGAACCTGACATGCATGGTAACATATTTATATATTTATTACAAAGAGCCATGACAATTCACTATGCCATATCACAACTTTTGCCTAAAACTGTCGCATGTATATGCAATCTGCTTATAACTTGAGTCAGTGTACTGCATGCATGTGTAAATCAAGTATTAGCTATATATAAAGCCGGGCTGGCCCATGTCATGCAGTTATAATCGGGATGATTCGTTTAATAAACTCTTATCACGGCTGCGATAAACATCCAAAATGACATTTCAAAGTTGAATTATATTTAGTTTGACTCCACTATAACAGTGTAAAGTTCATTATTCAGACGATCTTTTATGGTCAGGAAAAAATTTCGTGACACGATTTATCCTGCAGCAAGCCGAGGCTGGCCCGTCTCGGTACATGCAGATCACATGTATATCAACGAAGTCAAACAAAGAAAGCGTTTTCAACTTCAAGGAGGAACCCACTAACCCAGTCAAGAAACCAAATCTTCAAATTCTTAAATGCGGGATTTACTGTAGATTTTCTAAGAAATCAGTCAAGAATGATCGCCGGATTACTATTGTGTGCATATATGCATGGCCTTCTCGGGCAGAGAAGAAATAAGTACGTTTATTTGAGGAAGCTATAGCCTATAAGGTTGTCAGCCATGCATGTGCTGGCCCTGCTGGGTGAAACTAAATAGACCAAGCCAAGGGCATAGGAATAAAGGAAAAAAATACGGAAAGACCTGCAGGAGGCGTGAAGTCATTCGCTGATTCGGTGAGGCAAATATGCATCTGTATGTATATGCAGAGAAGTAGGCCCTACATGCATGCAGTGAAGGAACTAAAATTGTCTTGCTCCTTTGTCTCCTAGTTTAGGTTGCATAAGTGATTCGTACTTAAATTAAATAGGTGAATCAAGATATTGAATCTATATAAGCATTAAGTCAGAACTGATCAAAGACAAAGTTAAGGTTTCAGAAGTTTTTTAATTGAGAAGAGAGGTTGGGTGGGTAAGGATATTAGGGACAAAATACGTTTCTCCTCTGACTCGGTGCAATAATGACCAGTCCGCCCTAAAACCATTCCAAGTTGCATGGAACAAGAATATCGACTAATAAAACTATACTGCATGCTAAAACAGTAAAAGGTGTAAAGCTATAACACTGTACTCATTTCTTTACTTTAATAATAGCTGCATTCCATCATAAAAGAAACGAATATACAGTTAATTAAGAAATATTGTTTTAACAATTAATGCCACAATTAATGTCAATGGCATGCATTGTCAGTTAGTTACAAAATAGTCATTTTATATACTGTCTATATTCATACTTTGCTATACCACTTCAGTCACAAAGTTACATGCAGTTTTTTTTCTCTCATCAAATCGAATCGGTCAAATTTATTCGGATCCTTATATAAACACGATATATTACAGAATCGACATGAGCTCCACCTTTGAATTTACTATATGAGTAAGTTCTTAAACACGTCCGAATTTATCAAAGTGAAGCGGTATTCGGCGCGTAAGTATGCGGTGCATTGACACGTTTTTTTCGTATTCCGCATCTCAAACCAACCAAAATGTATTAAAATTCGTCTATTTTATAACAACATTCCGTGATTCAGGTGTATTTATATTTGTCGATCAAAAATTCCAATGACAATTTTATTACTACCTTGAGATTAGCCGCAGATTAAAGGCTTCAGATTACGCCTCAGATTTGGCGTTGGATTGGGTTTCAATCAGGCCTTACATTAAACTGTATTCAATCGCTCAAAAGTAGAATTATAAAACTTCTTTTTTAGCTATTTCACAAAATTAATTTGACCTGCATACATTTTCAATACTTTACTGTTCAAAACTTAAGAAAGCAAGCTCATTTGTGAACGAAATTTGAGACTTAAAACTCTGCACATGATATATGTTTATGCACATTTGCGATAAATCGGCAAGATGGATATCAGGAAAGATTAGTACGATACCATGTATGCCTACGCTTTTGAAAATTGAAAATCCTTTGATGTACTATTATTTACTGCATATAATCTATTTTGACTACCACATACATATTCTTACAATTTCTTTCTGCTAATATGCATGCATGATCGGATGTTCGATCGCAAAATTTTGGTCTTGCTATTTTGAATTAAAGTAATGAATAAGCTATTTTTCTGAGAGTAATGTCACATAATTCGAGAAAGTTCCACTGATCATAATTGAAATAAGTGTGGTTAACAAATAAATGTTGTGCAAAACGTATTTATGAACACATTAACTTTAAAAAAAAAAATAAAAAAAAAAAAAAATAAATAAAATGTGCCTCGATGGTGAGCTTTGTTTGTCGTGTTACCAACCCTCCAATTAAAAAAATTGTAAGATAGAAGCTTTGTGGGGAAGCTGCTGGTTGTCTTGGCCCCATCCAGGTTTCCTGTATATATTCCAGGTTTTTTCTGGCCTCCCTGACTATCCAGCTATAGTATGAGTGATGGTAACGCCCAAATATATGTCTAACTATCATCTGGCAGCAGCTGTCTTGTATACAAATACAGCTGTGGTGGGAGTTCGTCTATGGGGAATACACATGTTGTGTATTTGTGGGGTTGAAGTGTTCCCAATGGTCAACTTCAGGCCCATAGACTCAGGTTATTTATGTAAATATAATCAGTCGAATCGTAGGTACTGTCCAAGGGGATTATCACCCCTTGGTTCAGGTCTATGTCAGAGGGGGTCGCTACCCTTCGGGCAGAGCTCCTATGGAGCATTCAGTCTCTCCTAGCAGGTCTTATATATACCCCTGCGGGATGAAAACATAAGGCTTAATGAGTCTTTGGGTTGACCAGAGTTTGAGAGTATAATGTATATAATTGGTTCACTTCACCCTGAACCCATTCTCCCACAATGATTTGGTGTGTGTTTTACTTATTTTCGGGCTGTTCTTTCACCTAACGTGCTTGAATTATTAAAGCAAATTTATATATAACAATATATAAATTCAAGTTAATGAGACAACACGTTTGTCACCTGCAAACCTGGTTATAATCTCATAGTAACAGGATAAGCTTGTCAACAGCCACAAAAAGGCGATATCCAATAGTCCAAAGTTCAAATGTTTCTCTGGGCATGTGTAAACCGAATGAAAGATCAACTGACCAATCATATGTCAACAACGAACACGCAGAACAAAGGTCAATGTGATAAGGGAGTTCACTTTGACAAATATCCCAACAAAGAGCAATGTCTTGTTACCGAGAAAGAAAATTTCCACCCACCCACCCGTTCATGTTCCTGGTATCTGGTGCATTGTATGGGTACTAGCTAATGTTATGCAAGGACTGTTCAAGAACAATTTGTCAAGAAAGACTATCGAACAATTTTCTCATGGAAAATTATCGCTATGTAAATACTTAAATGTTCAAACAAATAAATTTTGGTTCGGGGTTGAAGTGTTCCCAATGGTCAACTTCAGGCCCATAGACTCAGGTTATTTATGTAAATATAATCAGTCGAATCGTAGGTACTGTCCAAGGGGATTATCACCCCTTGGTTCAGGTCTATGTCAGAGGGGGTCGCTACTCTTCGGGCAGAGCTCCTATATATACGCCTGCGGGATGAAAACATAAGGCTTAATGAGTCTTTGGGTTGACCAGAGTTTGAGAGTATAATGTATATAATTGGTTCACTTCACCCTGAACCCATTCTCCCACAATGATTTGGTGTGTGTTTTACTTATTTTCGGGCTGTTCTTTCACCTAACGTGCTTGAATTATTAATTGTGAAACAGTGAAAATTGAATTTTGAATGAAAATTGCTGATGTCATATATTTTACAACACGACAGTACTGTTTAACCATTCATTTCTTGCCTGTCATACAGAAAAAGTATTTTT